ATATTAAAAATACAAAATGCATCTCGAAAGGCATTTCAAATAAAATACAAAATACTTTTCACTGAAAGTTATTTAAATACAAAATATAAAATAGGTATTTTGCATTTTCTATTTGCATTTAAAATAGAAGTATTTCAAATAAATCACATCTCTGCTAGTTGGTCCGAATTCACAAATATCCACTGAGCAAGTAAAGCCCGTTTTACACTACCCAATTTTAAGAGACCCTTACCCTGACTAAAGGTAGTGAAATGTGAGTTAGGGTACGGGCACAGTGCACTCCGATTCAGACTCAGAAAACAAGCGCGAGAAATAAACAGTGTAGTTAAAGCAGGGTGGCCATAGTGGCAGCAGGCAACTGGTTGCCCGCGCGGTTTCGTAGTCAGTGGGTACGGGTACGAAATCTGCACTCTGGCCGTACCCTTACGGCCAGAGTGCACTCAGATTCAGACTCAGAAAACAAGCGCGAGAAATATACAGTGTAGTTTAAGCAGGTTGCCTGCTGCCACTATGGCCACCCTGCTTTAACTACATTGTTAATTTCTCGCGCTTGTTTTTTGAGTCTGAATCTGAGTGCACTCTAGCCGTACCCCGACACTTTACCGGAATGTTTAGGTCATTCAGATTCTGAATTCACTAGCGCCGCTCGGACTGCAGGTAGGGTTGCCAACCCTCCTATAAAATATAGTGTTCTACTATATTAGGGGATCAAATACTGGTGTGTTGAAATTTTAAGTTCCTAAGAGCAAACATATATAAAGTCTTTTAATAAACAAAACTGCTTAATTATTAGCTTGATACAAATCGTGGATTTTTGGATTTCTAGAAATCCAGCGATCCGTACCACGATATGTGATACTCTATACTACAGACTCAATAAATATCGTGATCCTGGAACGATCCAAATATCACGATAAATATCGAGCGTATAGCATTCGCCTATTATCTGCCTCCACTATGGCCATCACCTGCTTTCCTCAAGCTGACATCTCACGAGCCTGTGGGTACGGCCAGAGTGCACTCAGGTTCAGATTCAGATTCCGAAAAGTAGCGCGAGAAATAAACAGTGTAGTCGAAGGGTACGGCCAGAGTGCACTCCTGATTCAGATTCATACTCAGAAAACAAAGCGCGAGAAAAAGCAGGCAACCTGCTTAGACTACACTGTTTATTTCTCGCGCTTGTTTTCGAAATCTGAATCTGAATCTGAGTGCACTCTGGCCGCACCCTTAGACTACACTGTTTATTTCTCGCGCTTGTTTTCGGAATCTGAATCTGAGTGCACTCTGGCCGCACCCTAAGCAGGTTGCCTGCTTTTTCTCGTGCTTTGTTTTCTGAGTCTGAATCTGAATCAGGAGTGCACTCTGGCCGTACCCTTCGACTACACTGTTTATTTCTCGCGCCTTCGACTACACTGTTTATTTTCTTCGACTACACTGTTTATGTATTAAGCATGTGCGAGCAGCACATGCTTAATACATACGATCAGCAAATGCTTCTATACACACATCAACTGTACTTGCGTAAACTGAAACATATAGATCATCTACATCATACTACGAAAAATGCGAGTAATGAAATTTATTTGTGTGTAACGTTTCGTTACTCGGTACTAGATAGCGTCCCCGTTACTCAGTACCGAATACATACGGTTTGCTACAGCTCTACTATGAATTTATGGATATGAAACGCATAGCCGTTGACACCGACGATTTGATTTCACGACGAGTTTATTATTTTCTGGTGCTAGTGAAGTAGTTACTGATTTGATTACCTACTTCTCTGATATTAAAGTGTTGTTATTATTTCTTAGACATGGGCGTTTTTGGTTTTGAACGCAAACGGATATTTATCGGATTTCAGATTTCAAAATCGATTTTAAAATCCGTTTTTAGATATCCGATTTCAGATGTGCCGAACTTAGCCAATTCACTAGTTTGTGTTATGATTTGGTTTTATTAGCTAACGACAATCACAAACAATTAATTGTAGGAAGCAAGGATACTCGTAGATTTTCGCGATTTTCCTTCATGCTTTAAATCTAGGCTTAGGACTAGCAGAAAATTTATGTTTACGGTTAAGAGTAAAACTTTTGCGGCGCATTTAAAAATCGGCTTTTATACAATGATTTCTTTTTACATATTTTTTAGTATTTTTTTTTTGTTTTTCTGTTTGTTTTTATTATTTTTCAAACCATTTACAAAATCAAACCTAATTACTTCAGGTTAGCGTCCAAAAATGTAAGTTGCTCGACTTTTGATGTTTTTAGACGACATATCTTTTCAGTGATAAATAATCCCGCCTCAGAGAAGAGCAGTAGATTTCCGTAAACAGCAAATCGAAATCGGACTTCCGAGCACGAAATGCACAAAAACGAAAGCACGAATTTCGAATCCGATTTACATACGTTTTGGTTCGGTTAGATTTCTGAAATCGGATTTTCTTGTTGAGAAATCGTTCGGTATCGATTTGTGTTTGAAATCGGATTTTGGATTTGTTTTGATATATCGGACGCATGCCTATTATTTCTATAATACTGAAACGGTTATGCACTATACCTGGAACGGTTACGTACTATTTAGATAATCTAAATAGACGTGACTTGGTGGATTTGGCTGGTGTCTAACAATTTCTACCTGAAGTCTGTCCAGTTTATTGCGCACCGTTTATTGAAATAATAAAGGAAAGTATTCAAAATCGTTTCGAAAAATTTGATTTAGATAACCCAAGATCCAAGGACAGCATTCTGGCAGCAATATCGTATCCATTTTTCAAATTAAAGTGGGTGTCTAAAAATAAGAAGGAGCATCTTAGGGAGCTGTTTATCCAAGAAGTCAGGAAATTTAAAAATGAAAATTTAAAAAGCTGCCTCCTATCACAGACATCGGAAAGAAAAAGAGAAAAAAGCGAGTCTTATTACATGTTCCAGGATTCAGATTCCTCGGCAACCAGTGAGGGTGGTAGTGCTAATAATACTACAATAGATCTGGAAACCCTGCAATATTTAAAGGATGAGAGCACAAGTCTGGAGATGCTAAATGCTTATCCTACAGTAAAAAAAGTATTTTTTAAATACAACACATCCTTACCAAGTTCAGCACCAGTAGAAAGACTTTTTTCGTATGGTGGGATGATAATGAGACCTCACAAAAGAAAAATGAGTGATGATGTATTCGAACAACTGGTATTGTTAAAAAGCGTAATAAATAAACAATGATATTTATTTTTATCACTTTTTAACAATACCAGTCCAGTTCCAGTTGTTATTAGTTTTAATAAGAAAAGTGTAATCATATGTAATATGTTATTAGACGTTTGTTTTTCGGCTCGGCATTGTGTGTCTCTATTGCTCATGTATGATAAGTAAATATGTACCTATAATAAATAAAAATATCTAGATTTGGTCAGGGGGTATTTTATTTTGAAAAAGTATTTTGAAAATACCTATTTTGCATTTAGCATTTGAAATACAAAACGCAAAACTATTTAGTATTTTGCATTTGAAATAGTAAATCTGAAAAGTATTTTGCATTTTGTATTTAAATGCTTTTTTAAAACCATTTTGTACATCTCTGCCAACTAGTTATGGAAACTTGTTCTCTTATTGGTCTGTGGTTAAGGAGAATTAATTAATAACCTCCATGACATTTTTAATGAATTAAGAACGTACCTAACCTACAATAACTAGTACGTAATCATGTATTTTAAACTTTTCAACAGATCTACAGTCCTATGCAGATATTCAACAAAAATTTCAAAATACTCATCCAGTAAAATTGTACTTGGTATTGAAACCTCATGTGATGACACTGGTTGTGCTATTGTTAGTGATGAAGGAATAGTTTTGGGAGAGTCACTGAATTCACAAAATGCTGTACATGTTAGATACGGTGGTGTAAATCCCGTTCTTGCTTATGAATTGCACCGAAACAATATTGAATCTGTTGTTAACAATGCTTTGCAACACGCACACTTAAAAGTAAATGATGTAGACGCAATAGCTGTGACTACCAAGCCAGGCATGTTGATAAATCTTCAAGTAGGTGCTAAATATGCATCTTATTTATCAAGGAAGCATAGAAAACCTCTTATACCTATCCACCATATGGAAGCACATGCTTTAGTCGTGAGATTGTTCCAAAATATACCCTTCCCATTCTTAGTTTTACTAATTTCTGGAGGGCATTGTCTTTTAGCTGTTGTAAATGATGTTAATGATTTCCTTCTACTTGGTGACTCTCTGGATAATGCACCTGGTGAGATCATGGATAAAGCTGCAAGGAGATTAAAATTAAAAAATATACCTGAATATGCAGTAGTGGCTGGTGGTAGAGCTATTGAATTATCAGCATTAAAGGCAAACAATCTTAACCTATTCAAGTTCACAGTACCATTATTGAAAACCAGAGATTGTAACTTCAGTTTCAGTGGCCTGAAAGATGCCTTATTTAGACAACTTCACAAAGAAGAAACTAAATACCATGTTATGGGTGATGAAATTATACCAGAAATTAATAATCTGTCTGCATCTTTTCAACTTGCTATTGCTGAACACTTGGTTCATCGAACTGAACGAGCATTGCTATACTGTGAAAAAAGGAATTTATTACCTAAAACAAATAAAAATATTGTTGTTTCTGGTGGTGTTGCATGTAATGATTTTATTTTTAAATCAATTCAGATTATGGGGAAGGAACAAGGATGTAATGTTTTAAGGCCTCCTCCTAAAATTTGTACTGACAATGGTGTAATGATTGCTTGGAATGGAATAGAACAACTGAAAAAATATTGTACATTTGGATTAGGTTTTAATCTTAATGAAGTAACACCAGTAGCACCTTTGGGTCAAAGTATAAAACATGATGTTTTAGAATCAAATATACCTGTCAAAGTGACTAGATTAAAACATTTATTATGATAATAAATCTCTATGGCTCAGTTAATGGTAAGAAAAATAAAAACATTTATTAAACAAGTAAGTATAACTTATTTATTGTACTAAGGGCCTATTGAAATAAATATGTATAATGATTAATATTTTCAGTATTATTTTTCTTCATTCTTCTCTTCATTTATCAGCTTGTTGTAAATCTGAAATAATTGCATAGTAATTAAGTCTTGTCTTACTTTCATGGTACTTTCTTATTATCAATGCAGTTAGTGAAATACTGAATAAATTATGAAGTTCAAGATGACAACCCCAGGTTTATTAAATATAATGTGATTAGGATTTAACATAGAATTCCTGCTATTTTAAAACATACATTTTTTCCCCACAATTTTGATAGCAAAATGACAGAAAGTTAATTAATGAAAAACACACAGCATAATCTTAAAATGAACACCTTATTATAATGCAAATATGTTGGATTCATTACTATACTTCTAAAACTGTAATTAGAATACAAAAATTTACAGTAGGATTCACCTATTGTTAGAGCAATAAAGTGATACTTGGCTCAAAATTATACTTTTTCTTCAGGGGCATCCTACTGTAAATATAATAACTTTTTTATAGTTTTATAAGTGAAGTTATAAACAAGTCACACTAAAATATGGTGTATATAGTTTAAGATTATGCTGTGTTTTTATTAATTAACTAGTAGTCTGGTCATTTTGATATAAAAATAGTGAACATTTTGATTTTTTTTAAATGCATTATTTTTTCATAACTGTATAAAATAGCAGTAATCCTGCATTAAATCTTAGTCATATTTTTTTTGAACAACCTGGTGGAGTCCAATCTTCTCAACTTACATGAGAAATTGCAAGTCTGGTCCTTTCAAAACATACAAAGGATATTTTATTGTGGTATACAAATACTTGTAACATTAGATAACATGCTTTAAATTTCTGTATAACAAGACAAAGATTCAACCACTCTTCCTGTTATGATTGTAAAATATTATTTTTGAACAGGCTCTATACTTAGAAAGCTTGTCAATCTCTAGAGGAAAAAACACATTTTGTGAACCTTCAATAGTGTCAGTTCACAAAAGTATCCTTTCCCTAACACACCAAATGTTCATGATTATACTCATGAACATTTGCCGAGTTAGGGAAAAACAAATTAATATGTTAACAATATGCACAAACATTTGCAATGTTAGTTTGACAAAGGTACATTCTACTTTATTAAGTCAGTTGTTGGGCACACAATCACTGTTTAAAATTTTCATATAACTTACTAAAAATTACTCCTTTTCATCTGGAATGCAAAGTTGGAAATGTTAACTAGTTTGTTTAAAACATATATTATTTAAATAGATATTGCTAAGATAAAAAAAGGAATATTCACAATTCCTAGAAATAAGGTTCAGCACTCAGTTCTGTAATCTAAAGTTTAGCTTAAATTATTTATAATAAGACAGCGTTTCCTTAATAACTCAGTAGCAGATGCAATTTACCGAAATTGCTTCACGTAAAGATGTCTATGTAAAAACGTAATAGTTTTTACTTACGCGCTGGTCTGCCATTAGCCCATGGAGTTATGCGAACATGCGATTCATCACGTTTGAGTGCCTCCGTACGTAGTTCTGGTTTCAAGGCGCGCCTCAGAACCTTGGCAGCGATGTTGGAGTAGTTTATGTAACTAGAATGAAATTGTAACCTTTCATGAAGCTCAAAATAAACATATTATAAATTACATGTTAATATACTCACTTTAATCCGGCTTGCCTCCACGCAGTCATTTTTAATTATTTATAAATTTTTACGCTGGGTAGATACACTCTGCAAAGTAGAAATTCGAATTCATAAATTCCGAATTCGATTCGTATCTTTTTCTACGACAGACAAAACGCGTGTTCACAGTGTTGCCAGAACCAATTTAAGAATGACATATTTAACGAAAATGGACCTGTTTCCCGATTATCGGTCGATAATGGTATCGATTCTGGCATGATTCTCTAAACAAACTAAATTTAACTTTAGTCTCTCATTTTCATTCAGTGTAAAGAATGGCAAGGCTACACTATTGTCCAATTTAAGTTTAGGTTTAGAGAATCATGTCAGAATCGAAACCAATATCGGATGCGTTACATAATGCGATATTGCATAGCTATAGTCCATTCACTTTGGCGTGAGACAAAATGTAAACAAACCATAAAATGGATACTTTTTACGGTCACGTTTGACAAAAGTAAATATTAAATACTATTTATATAGGAAATGCAGCGAAAATTAAGGTTAATTATTTTAAAACCTGTTACATACATATGAAAAAGAAAATAAAATATTTTACATTATATTCAACGTATATTCACATCATAAATTCGTATATTTTTAATTTGCCGGTAAAATTATTTTAACAACTTAAGTTGACATGGAAAAAGACCTATAAACACAATCATTCCCAAACTTAAGACGTATTATAATACGACAAAATTTAAAAGTAGACATAATATAAGTATTTTACGTTGAAGTGTTGTGTTTTGTAATCGGTTGGTTTATGTCAGCCATCTTCTTTACTCTCCCGATCAACCTGTTGACGCGAGCGTGCTTATTCAATCTTATTTGTTATTTCCTTGTTTTATTTGTTGAGTTTGTTGTTATTTTATTTACGTTAAGTATAAAGTTATTAATGATTGTTTTCTTGTTGAATTAACGTTTTCGTAGTTATAGTTATGAGTGGTGAACCGGGACCAAGCAGCTCTTGTACATTTTCTTCGCCAAAGAAAAAGCGTACAAAGAGTGGTCCGTGATAAATGTTTTAAAACATGTTGAAGAAACCTGGCCAAAAGATTCCTATCCATATACAAGTGATATAATCAATAAATCCGCCGAAATACTGGGCATATCACGAGCTACTGTTTACCGGTTGGTAAAGGAAAAGAAAAGTACTGGCCGTGGCCGTATCTCATCACCTCCGCCTCCACCATTTAAAGTATCTTTAATGGATACATGGGACGATATGGATAATGCTGCGATACGCCGCAAAGTCCACACATTTTTTTTAATAAGGAGATGCCCACCGTTGACAAAGTATTGCGTGCTATGAATACAGATGAAACTTTGCCCAACTGTAAGAGGACCTCTTTTTTCAAGTTGATAAAATCATTACAATTTAAATATGCGAAAAGAAGCCGAAAGAATGGGCTTATTGAAAGAGATGACATTGTTTTATGGCGCATCAAATATTTAAATAATATTGTAAAGCTCAGGAGCGAAGGTAGAACTATTTATTACGCTGACGAAACTTGGCCAAATGAAGGTTGGTAAAATACAATATTAAACTACTTTATCCTGTGGGAAATTTACCTCTGAATGAAATTATATTTCCTTTTGTATTCATAAACTGATAAACTAAATTCGTATTTTTTATTGTTTATCATCACAGTACTATAATATATTAATTTCTATGCACATAATTTTATTATAATATTTTTATAAATATTGAATGATACTTATTATTTTCATACCATGTCTTTATCCTGTGACAATGTTACTCAAGTATGTTGTGTCATGTTACCAATTGTATTAAATTATTATTGTTTTTATTTTTCATAAGTTGTTAATGATCTTGTTACAGGACACACTATGAACAAAATTTGGCAAGATCATACAATTAAAACTGTAAAAAAAGCTCATCGAGAGGGATTGTCAATAGGATTAAAAACCCAAGTGGAAAAGGGAAGCGTCTGATTGTACTGCATATGGGCACAAGTCAAAGGATATGTTGGTAAAAATAATAAAACATTTAAGATGACTGAAATTAAAAATCTATTAGCCGATGCCTTACAATCAATCGTGAAATCGTGAAATCGTGAAACAGCTGAATCGTGGAAACGGTTCATTGACCATGTCATAAAAGAAGAGCAGAAAATGCTAAAATTGGATGATGTTTCGGATAAATTTATTATTTAAGTTGGTGGCAGTTCATCCAGTGAGTCGTAAGACAGTGAATAAATATTATTTGCAAAGTATTATGCTGGTTTCATTTGAAATACACATTTTTTTATTATATTAATCATCAAGACAGAATTCATTATAATTATAGGTTACATAAATTATACCTAATCATTGACCAGTAGGTACTTTCTGACATTATAAAAGTTTTAGAACCTCAGATTCTTTGTTTACATTTTGTCTCAAGCCAAAGTGAATAGACTATAGTATGTTATAAAAACGAGATAAAAGACTCTGTTTTGACTATTTCACAGTGCCTGGGTTGGTTCTCTTATCCTCTTTGCCTTAGAGCATTTATACCTGGAGATGCCACAGCGTTCACTCGCCGAACAAAATTTTTCACCATTTTAAATGCGGGGCGAGGTACATTGTATAGCATACTATTGAAAATATGCAATACTCCCACAAACACGAGCGTGTTGTTGTTATAAACGCACACTTGAAAAATTACGTCACACAAACAAAAAAACGTACCCACGCTAATATGTTTTATGATTCGAGAGTACACCAACACAAAATTCAGGATGCGACATTAAAATAATGAACGATATTTGAATTAACAGTTCTTGATGAATGAACATAATGTTTGTTTATAATGAAAACAAAATGCTTCATTTATAAATATCTATCTGAAAGCTTATTTATAGTTTTAGTACTTATTATTATGAACAAAATTCAAGGATATTTTTTGCAAATTATATGGCTGTGCAAAAAATCTTTCCGACGGATTTTGCTGCCTTTTATCCAATACACTACCTATAATTAATTGCTCATACACCCTTAATAATAGCAAACGCAGTATATTGTCACAAAACACTGCGTAACTGACCCAAGATTATCCATTCTTTGTTTAATATAATAGGGATAGCGAATTAATATACTTCAGTGAATTAAAGTTATTCGTTTTACTGATAATGTTTTCCTCAGTGGTTTAAGAAGTCAATAATTTTATGTGTCATTAATTAGAAAAAAACCTCAGTGATTCAAGCTTTCGGCAAAGATCAATCCCATGCTTTCAACGAGTGCTTCGCTAGCGTACGCTTATATATATATATATCCAAAATGATAAAAAATATTAACCTATATATTTCAGGAATTATTAAAGTTAAGTCAAGTCGAACAAAAACAGCCACACGGCCGTACCATTATCTTCTCGAAATAATTCAGGCCATTTGCAACCCGCTATAACTTCGTTGGTGATAAAACTAGAAGCCTGTGTTTTCAGTAACCAAGTAGTCATTGTATATACTCGATATATTTCAAATTTCATTGAATATGAGCCAGCTTTTTTTTATGTTATAGGGGGCATACGAGCAGACGGCTCACCTGATGGTAAGTGATCACCGTCGCCCATGGACACTTGCAACACCAGGAGTATCACAAATGTGATGCCGGCCTTTAAGGAAGGAGTACGCTCTTTTTTTGAAGGTTCTTGAGTCGTATTGGTCCGGAAACACGGCTGGCGACAACATATTCCACAGTTTTGTCGTACGTGGTAAAAAATTTCGACAAAAACTCACGGTTGTGGATAGCCACGCATCAAGATGATGGGGATGAAATTTTTGTCGCGATGTACTATGGCGAAATGCAGCAGCTGGAATTAATCCGAACAATTCCTCAGAACACTCCCCGTGATAAATGCGATAGAAGATGCAGAGCGAAGCTACATCCCTACGCAAAGCCAAAGGATCAAGTTGATCGGAAAGGTCCTGGTCGTCGACGATTCGAGCCGCTCGGCGCTGGATGCGATCCAAAGGGAGAAGCTGGTACTGGGGTACCCAAAGATGAGAGCAGTACTCCATGTGAGGCCGAACCTGTGCCTTATAAAGCTGCAGTCGGTGGGCCGGTGTGAAGTACATTCTCGATCTATTGAGCACACCAAGCTTCTTAGAGGCCAATTTGGCCTTGCCCTCTAAATGATCCCGAAACTGGACGTCGCTCGATATGTCAACGCCAAGAATTCCAAAACTAGCTGAGGCAGTTAGAGGAGTGTTCTCAAAAAGAGGAGATACGACAAATGGTATTTTTTTTTGCGGTGAACGCGCATAGTTGTGTCTTCGAAGGGTTAAATTGGACTAGATTAAGTCGGCCCCAATTCGTTACTCGGTTTAACAAAGTTTCGACTTCAGACACAAGTTTGTTCCGGCACTCCGGAACAAACTTGTTCCGGATTGCCGGAACAAACTCCAGTAGTTTAAGAATTATAACTAGTCATAGTTTCTTAATTTTGTCACTTACTGACTGACCGATCATCAAAACTCTAAGGCACTTCTAGCAGACATTGAAGCTTCAAATTTAGGATACAGTTAGTGTTTAAATTTTAAATTAAGGAAAAACTAATATATTTTGCAATTTCGGCCCAGTTTTCCAGATATAATGGTGTCGAATCTGCCATGATTCTCTAAACTTAAAACTAAATTTAAGGTCAGTCTCACCTTTTCATTCCGTATAGAGAAGGACAAGGATGCACTGTTGTCAAATTTAAGTTTAGCTTTAGAGAATCATGCCAGAATCGACATCATTGCTGTCAAATTTAAGTTTAGGTTTAGAGAATCATGTCAGAATCGACACCACTAACAGCATAAATACCTTTGTAATCTCATATAAACATATATGAGATTAGTATTAGAAAATTACTAATTTATGAATCAGTGAATGTGTTACATAAAATAGATAGGCGTAGACAAGTATCTAGATAAAATCTAGATAAAATTGGAATCCCATATATGATTGAAAATTTAGAATATAACGCGAATCGAATGGTTTTAGAGTTCGCATTAATTTGAATATGTTTTATTTAGTTTAACTTTTTACCGTAAGACGGAGCTGTATGTAGTTAGTTCACAAAATGCCAGTTGCTTTTCGGGCATTTATATAGACCTTGATCGTTGTTTGGATAATTCTAAGGTATTAC